CGGTGCGGCCGGCTGAGGGGTTGGCGCTCCGAGCAGCTGTGGGAAGGTGCCGGGAGAAAGACGGGCCAAGTTTTACTCGGCGAAGCCCCGTTGGAGTTTTTAGGCGGTAACTGCAGCCGCGTTTCCATTTCCTATATTGTGCACGCCTGGGTGTCCCAGCTCGGTGTGAGACCAGCACAATGTTAACTTCGCAGCTGGCACCTCTCAGATATTCCGGGCACGATAACGCTCAGGGAGAAGTTAGGGTTTTATCGCTCGGGTGGTTCAGTGCATCTGATGTCTGAGCGAGTGACCGGCTCCAGAGAGGGGGAGCTGAGTGTTGTCCAGACTGCCCTCACTGACAGCGGGACAATATTCATCAATAGCTAAACATTCGCCAAAATATTATCCGCGATTTGGGAAAAAAAACTAGTTAATTTCACACAAAACCCGAAACTGAAACACTTGTATATTGATTTGTTAGAATGAATTGGCTTACTACGATGCCAAGATGATGTGCATTATCTAGAAATGTATGCGAAAAAATGTATATGCAATACTACAGCTTCAACGGAAGCCCTTGATTTTTGTAAACCTAATGATTAAATAGGTTAGTATTTTTCTTTCCTTGGAGAGAAATTCGGACGTACTTTCCACTTTCCTCAATGTGCCCATCATAGTTATTGATGAGAATGCTGCAGCTAAATGGGAAGCGACAAAAATTAAAATTTTTCTAGCCGAGATGAAACTTATTATTATTTCCCACGTGGAAGGGGCTTTTGAAATTCAATTGACTTCTATTTGATTCTCTGTCTGTGCTATTCTAGGTACAGAAAAAAAGAGTATCAGTTAGTATGACTTCACTCACAAGAGCTGTTGATCTGAGGAAGATGAATATTTTAACAAAAGAGTTCCTAGATATGCCTTTTTTAGCTAAAACGGTTTAAAATACTGCTGTGCTTTTTATCCACTACTTTTCCATTTAATGACTAGGCAGATGTTACAAATGTGCCTTTTACCCTTGTAGAGACAAGCCCTTAAACAGAAAGGCAGTTGTACTTTATTTTTTTCTTACCTTTCTGTAGCTTGTTTGCAAATTTAAAAAAGGAAGTTTTTAGCATAAACCCTATTAATACAGGTAAGTAGTTAATTGTTGAAAAACGATATTTCACTTCTCTTAATTCTTTTTCCCTTTGAAGGCCAGATACAGAAACCAGCCAAAGTTCTCAATATGGTTTTGAATCGCTACCCCAGAAAATTTGTCTTATCTGCGGTGATGAGGCTTCTGGTTGCCACTATGGAGTACTTACCTGTGGAAGTTGTAAAGTCTTCTTTAAAAGGGCAATGGAAGGTACTATATGATGCCATTGTTCCTGATTATCTGAAATAGATCTTTTTAGGCACTGTTAAGGCCATACTTTTTATTTATTGCTGATGTTTAAAAATGTTATTACTGTAGTAATTTTTTTTTTTTTGAGAACTCTGTTTAAACATCACAGTTAATACTAACTAAAGTCTTTCTGAACTGATTTTGCTAGTATTTGGTTTGCTTTCGTTGTTTGCTATTTATTATTTACTCTTTATCAGTCTTTCTGAGTAGGTAGAGTTTCATAAAAGTCTTGTCTATTACACTATTTGTTTTAAAAAGTTTAAACGCTATTCAAAGGAAGATGTTGTGGGTATGAACTAATGATAGGCAGATAAGAATTTATTTTGGCTTCATTTTGTTTTCAAAGTCATGGAATTTTTCTTGCTTACAAGATGCAGAATTTGGCTTCCTGAGATTTATGGAAGTATTTCAAGTTTCACTGAACTATTTCAAGTCATAATAATAAATGGATTTGACTTTTGTTCCAAATAGCCATTAAATTACAAAGTCAAACTGCAGGTTTAATAAATCAGTAGCAATGCCTATATTTATTTTTTCTTTTTGGATTATGTTATATGCCTTGTCCGTAAATACCCACTGAGATTTTAAATATGAATACAAGCGCAGATTGCTTTATATAGTTCAACTGATGAAGAGGTGAAACAAATCCTTCCACATTTTATGGTTTGTCTCCTTTTCTGATTTTTATCTGATCCTGTCAGAACTAGGATATTCAAATTTCTGCTCCGTATACTTAAAAAAATAGTTGTTATAATGTATAGGAATTCTTAAAATAAAAAAAATACATTATGCATTGTGATACATGGTTTATTCAACTTTATAGAGTTTATTGCTCTTCACATGAAAAGGGAAATGCCGTAAAATTAAAAGCTTGGCAAAATAATGTAGCTAGATTTTTTCTTTCAGCGTGCTGTTACTTTCTACTTCAAGCGTATGCTCTTGTTCTTTCTTTAACATGCTAGGTAGTGATGACACTAGACTAGGTGGGCTACGTGAACTTTCGAGCTACTGCCTCATTTTCTCTAATACATTTCATGGAATTCACGAGAAAGCCATTAGAAACATACATGTTACGTTGCTAGGAAAACACTTGTTTCTTAAGTAACTTAGAAGAATACATGTAAGTTGCACTGACTATGTTAACTGGTCTCTTGGTTTGGCTTCACATGTTTTACTTTAGTTATTTTGGTAAATCAGTCACAAACTTTTAAAAAAAAACAGGGAGCTGAAGTTTTAAGAATGAGTGTAGTGTAATTTAGGAGTGCCATATTTTAAAATAAGTTTTATTATTTACTTTTTACCTATACAGTAACATTGTAATTTTTTATTTGAATTTGATTCCATCACTTTTGAATTTCATCTCTTTCCTAAACTGGTATCCAGTTGTGTTTGTGCAGTAGGTGAACCTGCTCAAAAACATACCTTGTTACTGTTCAGCATAAGCATTTTAATGTTAAATGTTAAGAAGGCATATAAGTTGGTAGTAGGGATATCTTAAGGCTGTTTTCACTGATGATTTAATCAAAGTCTGTATTTGCGGAATCTTACCAGATTGAGAATATAGACAGAGGGAAAAACAAAAGGTCAACACAATTACAGAAACAAAATGCTTATGTTTTACATATAGCAACTTCATACTTTCCATTTTTAAATGATTCCGAAGACTGAGAGTATGATGAGGAAGTGTGTTTGGGTTTTTTAGTAAGAGTATTCAAAGAATGGACAACTACCTCAGACTACCTGGCTATAACAAGAAAAAATACAGGTTGTTGAATCTTATCGGGAAGAAGGTCAGGCATGAGCAGCGTGGGTATGAGCAGGATAAATAAATACAGTTACCTGGTTTTCTGTTGAAAGTACAAGTCTACAGCGAGTTCCTTAAAGAGATGGACTTTTTATTTTAATGGAAGCATAGGATATAATTACTAGCATTAAAATAATCCCATTTATGGAGAGATACTTGATTTCACTTTGACTTAAAGTTCTTTTTTGTTAATTTCTTATCAGAAATAAAGGTGACTAATTACTCTTCTGTAAGTAGAAACAGAATATTTTAATTCTAAATGCCATAGAAAATAGTGGTTAAAAATTCACAGTGGCAATTGTATAAATTTGAGACATTTTTCTTAGGTAAAATGTCCCCCTGCCCATCATTTCTTTGAGTGGGAATGCATTATTTACCTTTTAAAATTTTTATTACTACCATAGATGTAGGGTTTTTCATAATAATTATTCATGCAAATAAGATGTTAAACTTTGTGAATGCGAATTTATAATCAAAACTCTACTTTTCATATACTTTCCATACAGTTCTGATCACTATAAGAAGTTAAAACACAATTGGAAATGTGCTACTTCTTGGGTTTTCTATATTTTTGAGAACTTTTTCATATGGTAGGAGGTTTTCAAGTTTGTAGGTAACAAGGTACATAACACAGTGGTATTAAATTTGTTTCAGAATGTCTATTTTCTATTTTAATTATTTCTGTAATCTCAGATATGTTGGATGTTTCAAATCTAACAGCCTTTGTAATTGTTTCACGCAAATTGTCCTATTCACACACCATTTATTTTACTCTTCCCCTATTGTATGGAAAATACTGTATTAGTGAAATGCTTCCTTTGAGATAAAATGGACCGCTACATTATCCAGAAAACCCCATTTTTTCATCTCTAGTCTTTTCGAAATAAAACCAGAGCTTATTTAAAATACTCAGACTGAACAATCATTTGAAACTGTATAGGCGAACCTAGAAATGTTTGTATATGAAGTATGATTTAATCATACATTTGAATATAACTAGCACATACATATACAGCTTAACAGGGGGTCAGAAGTGTATGAGGATCACTAAGATGAAAGTGTAGATTTAGAATTAAATTATTTTAGAATGTTTGTTGGCAATGAATTCTTAAAAATATTTGATTTGGTAAATATTTTCTGTCTTTTCAGTTCTTGGCTCCTCATGTGTGCCTATATACATAAAGAGAAGGATAGTGTTAATACAATAAGCATATTTTACTATAAGCATAATCCTGAAGCAGGTTAATCAAAAATGCAACTCCTTTTTTGGGGGAAGTCTACTATAGCAGATAAAAAAAAAATTTAGTTCTGGAAGTAGGCGGAGCGAAGGGGAGGAAAATGTAGCTAAGGGACAAAAATACTGATTTATTTTTTTTAGAAACATTTATTTGCATTTGGAGGTTGTGTATTTTCTGTACTGATTTACTAGTCCATTGATTCACTTATTGTACAAACAAATTACAAGGCTTTTAAAAAATGCTTTAAAGATCTTTGGGTATAATGAAAATAACAAAAGTTGCTGTTACTTATATTCGATTAAGAAATCTGAAAAGACAAAATTGGATTCAGTATGCTGATGGAGTAGTGCTGTTCCTGTCAGTGAGCTGAGAGTGATGGTTAGCTTGGAGTTACCAATCAAAAAAATGCAGGAATAATATTTAAAATGCTTTCGAATATGTAGAATTACTATATTTGCAAAGTAATTTGCTGTTGATGATGAGGCATTGTTTAAGTGCTACCAATATATCTATTCTGGAGTTACACGTCTCCTTTCTAGAAGTTTTACTAATGAAAAATTAAAATTATGTAGATCCTGAAAAAAATTTCAAGTGCTGTGTTTCCTGTGTAGAGTCCCACTTCTAATTTTTGTTCTCTATTTATATAAAGCACTTGCCTTTCTTTGCTCTTTGTTTACATTATTGACATCTAATGAAAAGTAGTTGCCTGAACCTGAAGAGTTTGAGGCCAACATAAATACATGCTATTACAGCAGATGGGTCACAAAGTAACTCTTGGTTTGTTTAAATACTTGGGACCCCATTACAAAATTGATCTAATGATTGTATAGCAGATTTGTCCAGTTTTAATGTGTGCTTCAAGCTCAGAGTAACAGTGCTGTACAGATAATAGCATCAGGGAACAAGCTCAACCATATGTAATAGCTAACACTTAAGTGACAGAGTGTGAACTTTTCTTCTGAGACCTGAATTTGGCAAACTCTACCTGACAGAAGGTAGCGAAACGAGTTTTCACTGGCTGTAGATGGAGAGGTACTCGTGGAGGAATTAAAGAGCTACGTCTACACAGTAAGAGGGCTGACCATGACTTCAGCCGAACTTTATCAGAAAGTTTATCTGACTCCTGTTACCTATAGGCAGTTTTGTGGTGACAGTGTGATTCACTATGTTAAGTAGTGAAATACTACGCATAAGGAAAATTGCTGGACTAAACAGTTGTGCTTTTCCATAGCTTAAGAATGTAAAATGGCACAGCATGCCAAATATTAAAAAAAATGCCAGCCACTAATAGAAAGTCCTCTTTGAAAAGAGAATGAAATGCAATACTATAGAGACCCTTTCGGCTGTGAAATTGATGAAGCAGATGTAAAAAGTTCCTTTTTCTCATAACTTTGCAGGGATTTCCAATTTTTAATCCAACTTTCCAGGCTGGATCTTGGGATCAGAATTTGGTACAGCTTGTACTGTAAACCTGATAGTGATGAAAGTTTCATGAAGCAGAAAACATACAAACTTACAAACCATACATATGGCAAGTTGAGATGAAAATGCTTTTCACTTAATATAACATTTAATATCATTAAAGTTCTTTTATTTTGTACACAACCAAAATATGTTAATGTACAGTGAGTGTATTTCCAAATTCAAATGTACAAAGTTACTTCACTGAGGGTCCTAAAATTCAAGTGGGAAATGTCACTTTTGTGAGAACAAAGAATTTGCATCATGAAAAGGGAAGGAAGAAAATCTGTACTGATACATAATTGTCTATCTTCATCATTCCTTCTGACTTCAGAGGTATTTGTTGTTAAGCCATTTGACAAACATTAATTTGATGAATTGATTCGTATGAGGCAAACAACTGAGTGAGCTAAAATTGCATTTGTTCTGGTACTTTGGCTGTTGTGATAATACTGGGG